GGACTGTAGCATCTGAATCTGCTTCTACTACAGGTGGACGTGTCATTGATGAGCAAAATAGTTGCTTGGATGGAAAGACAGTGGAAGCCCTCATGTCTCTTCAAGATTGGTATGCCGCTGAAGCGAGAAATTAAAATATGGAAATAAATCCCCCAATGCCAGAATTTAAAGTTTTAGAAATTTAGATATTATGAATAATGTATTTTTTTTTCATCTATTACATATACACGCTTTTCATGTATAAAAACCTTTAATGGGTAGAATTGTACAAATGATAGATAGGTGAGTAGGTGTCAACTTAATAGAGATGTACTCATTCTATTGTAATGCAATTTCTCTTCTATTCATAAATAAAATTATTCATTATTTAATTTTTTGTTCATTTTGATTTTGACTATATTTTTAATTCAAAAATATAATTTACAAAAAAATTAAATAAAGTTATATATTTTTTTAATAGGGGCCAACAAGCTTGTCCAACCAAGCCCGCCCAAAGCAAGCTTGCCCATCAGGCTCGTGCAATAGGCCCAACAAAGCATGCCCAGAAAAAGCCCGCCCAATAGGTGACGGGTTGGGCTACGAGGAGCTTATCCCTACCCGAAGCCCGGTCTGGCCCGTGGACAGCCCTACTAATGACCACTAAGTTCTTTATCTGCTAATATGACTAATAGTAATTCACTTTTTAACTTTGAGTTAAGAATTTAAAAGGTATGACCCAAATTGTGAGATCCTGGTATCCCACATCGGTTAGGGAAGAAAAAGTTGCTAGACTTATTAGTAAGCCCCTTGCCTTACTTGGCATAAGACATTTTCCCAAGAATATTGAGAGGAACAAAGCCGTGAGGGCCAGTGGGCCCTAAGCGGACAATATTATGTTATGTGGAGGTTGGGGGTTTTATAAGTTAGTATTAGAGCCAACTCTCGCCTAGTCAAGTGTGGGCCCCTGCCGTGCTTGCGTGTAGTGGGCGGGCAGGTAGTTGGCGAGCTACTGCATGGGGACGTGCAGCCCTAAGTGGGGTGAATTGTGAGATCCTGGTTTCCCATATCGATTAAGGAGGGAAAAGTTGCTGGGCTTATTAGTAAGCCTCCTGCCTTACATAACATAAGATCTTTTCCCAGAAATACTGGGAGGAACAAAGCCGTGAGGTCCAGCGGGCCCAAAGTGGACAATATTATGCCATGTGGAGGGTGGGGTCTTACACGAATCAAAGAATGACTTACCATGATCAACAATAAAAGATAATCTTTTTAAACTTTTCCCTTTTTCAATGTTTTTGGATTTCTTACAAATAACCTAAAAACAGAAAATATGCACAACATGCAACAATAAGGAAAAATAAAGCATTTACCATTAAATCATTAAGTATGGCCAACTAAGCATCAATTTTTTTTTGTTTTTTTTGGATATTCATATACCAAAAATCAAAGTAAATAAATACAACAAAAAAAAATTATTTACAATTTATGAACCTAGGATATAAGATGCAATGCATAAGTATGCACTAGGTCCATATTCTCACTTCACCTACCTTTTAGGTACTCAACCTTCTTGGTAGCCCTTGGGACTTCCAACTTAGTTGAGATGGCGAACTTCTCAATGTACTCACATCTCACCTAGACTTGTTTTTCCTTAAGATCTGTCAGGTTAGCTTTGAAAATGGGTGGAGGACTCTTTCTCTTAACTCTACCTTTTGAAGTTTATTTCGGGGAGGAGGAGCGTGAGCCTAGTAAAGCCATGAAACCTTCCTCACTTTGTTGAGAGGAAGTATTTTCATTCGTTGTCGACTCGGATTCACTTTCTCTCCTCTCTATGGAGAAATCTTTTTTCTTTCAATTAGGGCATTCCCCTGCCATGTGTCTAAACCCTCGACACTTATAGCATTGAGATCCTTGCCCTCTTTTCATTTCCCTTTTATTTTCTCCTCATTTTTTGGGAAATTTAGTTCTTAACTCCTCTAGCTTTGATATATTTTCTAAACTTTCTCACAAATTGGGCTAGGTCCTCTTTTCCCAAACAGTGTGACTTGGATTCATCTCCATCTTCTCATATTGAGTTTAATATCAAGCTTCTCGATTTCTTGGATAGTGGGACATTCAACTCAAAAGTCAAAATAAATCTAACTACGTCTTCTATCGACACCATATCTAAATTGACCTTGGTTTCCAAGGTCATCACCTTAGTATGAAATCTCTCTAGTAGGGATCTCAATTTTTTTATTTAATCTAGAAATCATTGTACTTGGTACCTAATGCTAAGGATGAATTTACAATATCCCACAATCTAGCATAGAATCGCCAAATTTTTTATCCTCTCGCATCCTCAAAGTTTCGAATTGAGAGTAGTACCTTTGGAGATGAGACACCTTCACTAAAGGTGTTCCTTCATGAGAACCTTGTAAGATGTCTCATGCTTCTTTGAAAATCTCACAACTGGAGATCCTCCAGAACTCCTCAATTCTTATGGCATTGAATACCACTTTCAAGCCTTTCGAGTTCCACCCTGTAGACTTGTACTTCATTTTAGACTTAGTCCTTGGGGATTTTGGTTCAAAAATGACTTCACCATCTTCAACCTGGTGTGGTGGCCATTGGATGGCTCTAACCCTCTAGGACATACATTCAGACATGCTCATCAATCGATTTTATAAACATTCTCATTCGAGCTTTCCAGTATGCATATTTTGTACCATAAAAGAACAACGGTCGTGCTGTTGAACTTCCTTCTTTTTGAGACTCTATTAATAACTAACCGGTAGTTGTAATGAATCTCAAATCACAAAACTAGGTCAATTAGGCAAAATATGCAATGAATGCCTATACTAAGTGCAATTCAAGGAAAACCTTGCTTTGATACCAATTGTGAGAAAAGTACAACATTTCACGTATAGGATCTTCTTTCCACTTGATTATACACTTGGAATTGCAAGCTAGACCTAGAGGGGGTGAATATGTTAATTTAAAATTAATCTCGGATGACTACCAATTTTAACATATATCTACCACAATTAGTTCTTCTCACAAAAATATGATAATTTAAGTGAGAATCCTTTTTAACATGAACAACCCATTAAAGTATGCATGGATAAATGAATATGCAATTAACACCAATCAATCCACAATCTCTTTTTGATCCCAACAAAAGCCACAATCACCAAGACCACTATTAATGAATTAAAAGATAAATAATCAATTCATCAAATACGTGGTGCACGTGTGTGCAATATTGCAAGTGCGCAAGCAAATTAAAGTAATAAAGAACATAAGCAATTTGTTGATGTAGAAATCTTTCTTGGTAAAAATCGCAAGGAACCTTCTCAGTTTACCAAAGCCTAATCCACAAAATTCAAATTTAATCTACAAGTACTCGAGTCTTATATCTCAACCAATCCATATGGCTAGATGATCATTTCCTTTGTAGATCTCTCTGCCAAAGGCCTTCATTCGATGTTATCGCTAGCTTCACTTGAACCCCCCGCCACATGGTTCGTTTAGGTTTCAAACAATCTTCAAAGTTTCACACCTATAACCTCGGTATACACACTGATCCAAGTGGATTTTGGTTGACACAAAGCAAGATCTTCTTCTTCAATATGTGGGATTAAATGGAAGAATCAAGATGGTGTGCCTTTGGTCATAGGGATCTAAGGTTGTCCTTTAAGCACTCTAGAAGGATTTTTGGTCTATTCTAGCTCATAGAGGCTTACCCTAGGTTTTAAGACATAACCCCATATATATAGGTCACAAAATAGGGTTTGTCTTGGGACCAAGAAAACACATATTCGCATCGATTGATTGAGCAGTAGAAGGACAGTCATAGGACGATGGTTGCTCAAGTAAAAGATCATTCTGAACCTCCAGGTAGTAGGTTGATCTCCAAACCGCTTGAGCAACCTCTAGATCGCTTGAGTGATTGTAGGGCAGTCATAGAGCGGCCGTAGATTAGTCTCCACTAGTTTTTCATGTGTTGTCTCCCTAAGTATTTCAGAAATCGCTCTAGTGGAGGCTAGGAAACACAGAGCGATTTCTACTTGTTTCTAAGTAAGAAACCAAGCAAAAACTTGACCTATTGAGCACTAAGGGGTCTGATAAATGATTCAATTTATTTTTTCAAAACACATTTATGGTTTAGAAAAAAATTTCAACGAAAAAGCATGGGAGTCATTTTTTGGATATTTCAAATCCATTTTGTTCACCTTAATCATCCTAAGTCTAAATTAAACCAAGGGATATCAGTCTTCTCTAAGGTCATTACCTTTGTCCTAAACTTGAAGGTGCATCGGAGTAGTCTTGATATATCATTGTAGCTTGATCTCATTTCCTTTTTTTGTCGCTTACATATCTTGATCGTTGAAGCTTGATGACCATGAAATTTGATTGAAATTTACATAGACTTCACGAAATTAGGCTTTACATAGACTTTGCGAAATTACAAAAATGTGATCTACCATTCACATATTATCCTCATTGACTATTAAAACATCATTATTATTAAGCCACAATTATTGAACACCAGTCATAATTATTAGGTGATTATTGAATAATGTAGAGTTTGAGTAATCTGTTTGGTGGTTTATTATTAAGAGTGATACTATATGATAGTATTGATTATTTTCTTGGTTTTTTAGCTGCTTAAATTAGAAAGACAAAGCACTAGGTATGAGAGAGAGAGAATTTGATACGAGTTCAATGGTGCAGAGACAAATAAGACGGGTCTATTTTAAACAATTTGGACTTTCAGTTTGTGACTGGCCACTTGGCAATTTCTTACAATTTTGAAGGTGTAGCATTGATTAGAACATTCAATCATCAAATAGAAACCTTAAAGATACTACTGCAAAGTTGACACTCTAGAAATCGAAAAGAAACTCAAATCAACACATACTATATGGGGCATGAGTGCATTCCACCAATTTAAATTTTACCCTTACAATTTGATGAACTAATAAAAAGTACATACTTCAAGGAATAGTTACGCGATAACACCGTTCCTTTATTGCCAATTATTCTCTTTTGGAAAGGGTCATTGAAGATATGACAGAAGAAACTCCAGAGCTTACTGTTCCGATGAGAAGAAAACCTGCTGACAAATAGGCCATGCTGAAGAAGTCCCCAAAGTTTTCTGCATTGTAGGCCCTATCAAGATCCGTAGTTGCCCCAAATACTGCCCCAATTCCCGATGCCAATATAACTAAAGTAACCTGAACACATACATGAATTTAAATTCATCAAAATCGTTTGTTCTTTTTTTTTTTTTCCCCCAGCACAAGCATATATATTGCGTTTTGAAATAAGTAGCTAGATAAACAGATTCACTGCATCATGAATTCCATCTAGGTTCAGATTCAGTACGACTCATACTTTACCTAAAAACTTAAGCTTAAGACGGTTTCTGAAGCCGTTTTACAAGCTGTGTTTTCCCGACAAATGAGCAAAGTATTGTTTTTCATGTGCGTGCATGTATATGTGATTTAGATATACACTTGGACTAACTCTAAGATCCAACTGAATATGCCAAAAAATAAATAAATTCATGACATTGCAGTTTGACAGCGCCCCCCCGCGGGGGGGGGGGGGGGGGGGGGGGGGGTGTGTTGTAGAAGGTCATAGTTGATGAAAAACCAAAATACTCAACCAATATTTGTTTCTCTTGTGGTGCAAAATAGGTCACAAACTGCTAGAGCTGCCGTTTTTTCTTATCTCGCAAAATAGGTGTCAAAATACTTATTATTATGAATAAGAATACTACAAATAATTAGGTAAACTAAATTTGGAGACCTATCAATAAACCCCCAACATTGGATTGATGGGATTCACTATTAAGTAATTCCTTATACTTGAGGGAGTTTGTTTGATTAAGTGATAAACCTCGAAGAGTCTGTCTGATTAAGTGACAAACTACAGAGGGTTTGAATATAAATTTTTTATATATCTATACTAGTAATAAAAATACATTAAAATAAAAAAAATTTAAATCTTTATTTTAAACTTTAGGATTGCAAAGACCACTATATCATTCACAATTAGATATGTATTTAAATTTTCAAATTATCTATAATATTTCTTTTAATTGTCTTTTCTTTTTGTATAAATATCAGTTCTATAGAACTTTTTGATTGATTATATTAAAATTAAAAAATATGCATCATTATAGTGTTAAAAAAATCTTCAAAAACTCCATCAATTTAATATTTCATCAGAAAGTTTAACCCTAAGATGAAAAAATTTTGAATCTTTAAATATCTAAATTACTATTATATCTTTATGTATTTAAATCTCTAAATTATCTAGAATATTTCTTTTAATTATTTATTCTTTACAAATAAATATCAGTTTCTATAAAATTGATTGATTATATTACTCTTAAAAAAATATGCATCACTATATTTTCAATAAAGTACTTAAAAAACCTTCAAAAACTTTATCAATCTAATATTACTCATCTCATATATAAATATAATATTATGCCTACATATGTATATTTTCTTTTTCATTTAAAAGTTTAACCCTTTTATTTTTAAGATAAAAAATAGTTAGGTTTTTAAAATTAATTTATGTTACATTAGTATAATTTTTCAGTCATAATAAACTTTTTAAGTTGTACTAAGATTTTATGTAAAAATAGATATTATAGTGTATTTTTAAGTAAAACTTAATTTTTTTAAAAATTTTAATATGATTGATAATATATATTATAACATAGTATATTAAATCTTATCTCATTTAACTTATCTAATTGTTAATTACATTAAGATTTCAATGTAATTAGTATATTGACAGTTACTTTTATTCTATTCGAAGAATTATAAGAGAAATCTTAATGAAATGAATTTTAAAAAGTTTAATTTATCAGATATCACTATAAATTAAAATCTGAGTTACAAAATTCTTAAAAAAAAATGCCAGCAGGGCTGATCATAACCTTATCTCCGTAGAAGTCAAACTGGAGAAAGGCGTAGCGGTTTACTAGGCGTTTCCCTGTTATTAGATAGTATATTGCAAAGGGAATTTGCAATAAACTGTATGCAACTCCCACTACCATAGTAAGCAGCGCATACCTGTCAATGAAGAACATCAAAAAATAACACACACACACACACACACACACACACACATATACATACATACATACATTGAGAGAGAGAGAGAGATAGAGAGGGAGAGAGGGAGAGAAAAAGGGAAAGAGAGGGGTTGTTTAAGTACCGGTAGGAGCTTATATCCTTGTAGCGAAGCCTGTATTGATTGGTGGTGGCGTTGTTAGTCTTCATGACGGCGAATGCTATTATAGCGGAAACAAAAGTCACGACTCTAGCCACCACCATAATCACTCGCAACTTTGATCCAAGAGGAACATCACTCTGAGCTTCCAACATTTTTGTATAGCCTTTTTGTTACGTTGCTTGGATACCTTTGCCACGACCCTCTATATATATACTAAGTAGTTTGTGTCATTCCGGTTGTAACTAGGTTCGAAAATGAAAAGAGACACTCTGTAAACAAACACACGTAGTCAAAGGTCGGACTCTTCCAAAATACGCCTCCCATAGCCCTTACAGAATCTCTAATTCTTATCTTTTTTTTTTAAATTTAAATTTAATTTTGAATAAAAAATTGTTAAAAATATTTTTCAATTTTATACTCAAATCATTATCAAGAAAAACTCATTTTTTAACACAAATCAAGGGTGACTCAAATTTATACTCAAATCTTTAATAATAAGATTTCACTTTCTTTTAAAGACTCAATGATTATATTTTACAGTTTTTTAAATTTGAATTTGTCTTTCTTTAAATTTGAATTTCTTTACTAGAGAGTTTTATACTAAGTCAAATTTTTAATCTTTTTATTTTCCTACTAAAATTTGATAAAGGGTTTAATTTTCATTAAAAATGGGCTTACTAGAGACTAAATGGGTGTATGTTTTCCAAGATTTAAGTCAATTTTGACTCGTTCTACAATGTGGTTTCCCATAAAATTTTAAATTTGTTCGATTTAGAAATGGTCAAAACCATGTCACCATCTTATATTATTTTCTAAGGTATTAATTTTTGTAATGTAATCCTCAAAGTTTTATATTCACTTTCAAATAAATTAATGGATGATAGATATGGTCAACTTAGAAATGGTAATAACCATGTCGCGTGGTGGATGCAATCTCAGGGATAGCTTGTGGAGGAAAGAAAAGACTGGACGGGTGAAGCTGACCTTTCCATTCTCTATTCAGTCAAATCAATTCATCGTGGTCGAAAGCACTGTATAAGAAGTGATGAATTTTGAAGAAAAAAAATTCAATTTAAATAATTTTGCGAAGAAAGTGGTGGTCATTGCATGAGACTATTTGAAGAGGGAGTTATTTCAAAAGAACAGAACGTACCTCAAGTCATCAATATATTTCGGATTAATAGCTAACCAATTGTCCTCAAATTGAAAACAATTTCACGTCTTTGCACATGGTGAACAAATAAATATTTACACATATCTATGTATATAGATTTGGCTTCCGTATCGAAGGAGGTGCGTTACTAAAGTTTTTAACTTTTGTGAGCTAAGATACAAGTTTTTCAGATTTGGTTACAACTAAAAATACTAGTATCGGTCTCGATACTAAAATATTAGGATTAATCCTAAAAACTCATGAATATTTGATATAATGTTGCAAATTTTAAGTTTCACCCCAAGGAGGCCTTCGGCATCTAGAGGTTACAGACCGACCAAAGAACCCTATTCAACAAGTGGAAGACATTAGTTGTTCGCTCTCAGGTTTAAGAGTCGGAGAAAGACAATCACTCATTCTTAAAACTAGAGTTCTTAAGACCAAAGAGTGGGGGGAGGGGGGGGGGGGAGTTCTCCATTCCTGATTATAATTTTTTTGAGAATTGTAGGTTTGACCCCAACAATCAAGTGCAATATCCTAAAAAATTATACTTTCTCGGAACCGTCCATATATATATTATTGGGTTGTGTATCTATCTATATATAGGGAGCGGGGACGGAGCCAAGAATCTGAATGAGGGACGCAAAAAAGTCCTAATTCAACTCCAAGTCCTTATATGCATAAGATTCCTCATTCATAGATTTTTTCATCTTTTCTTTTTTTGTCATTAATTGCTGACAAATTGATGTTGAACGTCTTCGATAAATTATTTTTACCGAAGCGTTGATTACTCAAAATATATATGCTTCACACTTATAATGCTTACATATTGTAATTTTTTGGACTTATATTTCACCAAGTCTTTGTAGATGATTTCTGTTGCGGAAATTACCCAAGAATAGGATTGGGATCGATATTGACACTCACTTAAGTGGAAAAAAAAAATAAAAGAACAATCATATAACACAAAAAAATTTACGTGATTCGACAATTGTCTATCGGATGTTTTCATTAATTGAGCAAAACAATAGTACAAGATAATTATTTAAAATTTCACTACTACTCACTCAAACAAAAAAAGATTGCTTTGATATATCTCCGAAACCTCACAACTTGAATGTTTCGCTAAACACTCAATGTTTGGACTTATTCAAGACTCCGATCCTTGAACCCTTGCCTAAGAGTTTGTTTGTTTAGCGGGAGAATGATAGAAAATGCAAGAAAAAGAAATATTTCAAAATTTTCATGTGTTTGGCTAACATGAAAAGGATAGAAAAAATAATTTTCTTTCATATTTGAATTTTCTAACAAATAACCAATTTTTTTTTGCTTGTAAAAAACACAGAACTGTAAGAAAGTAGTGATCTATAACTAACTTTATATTTTACCCTTATGTTTCTTAAAATATTTTATTATTTATTAATTTTAAAAAAATTTGGTATGAATTTGATTAGTCATATAATTTGGCTCAAAGACTTTCGTGTTAATGATCGTTGTAGAATTAGGTTTTGAGCTACTTTTTAAAAATTTTTTAACTTTCAATTATAATTGCATAATTTTTTTAGACCGATTTAATATAATTAAGGGTAATTTAGACAATTATAAAAAATTTCTTATAACTTTACTTTCTTTAAAACAATGGAATGAATTTTTTTTTAAATTTTCCCATAAAATTTTCATTCTAACCAAATACATGAATGAAAATATATTTTCTTTTCTTTCACTTCATTTTCTATTTTTTTACTTTTGATCATTTTTTCTTCCTAACTAAACACACGTTAAGACTTTTTTTTATAGTGAACAAAAGGTGTGAGAACACACTGGTGAGCCTAATATTGAAATTCGAATTTTGAACAGAAAACAAACATACGTTTCCTTTGCGTGTGCACCGACAACTTTTTGCTGGACTTCACATAGATATTAGACAGGCTTGGAATTCTATCCAGACATGCCTTAAATGGCTAGGCCACTTTTAGTGTCAAGCCTTGAAGACTTGTAGCCACTAAATGCCAACAATTCTTCAAATTGCCCTGAAGCCAGGAAGGCTATCTGAAACCTCTTTTCCGATCTTTGTCTCAGATGCACTTTGTAAGGCGCTCAAACTTCTAGAATATTGATCAAGTCAATTCAATGCTTGAACTTGATTACTGGAACCACCTTGGTCAGCAAATTTGCTGAATTATCTTTAGCACCAATTTTTTGTAGAGAAATCTCTCCATCATCAATAATCCCACAAACAATGTGAAATCGAACATCAATATGCTTTGTTCTATCATGATGAACTTGGTTTTCTCCAAGTGAATGACACTCTGATTGTCACAAGATGCTCGCATGCTTTTGCGATATTCTCAAATTACCAATCAAACCCCGGATCCATAAAATCCCCTTGATGACTTCAGACACTACCATATGCTGTACTTTAGCTATGGACAAAGAAACAACTAAAAACATAGCCCTTTGTAGACATTCGCCTGTCCAGGTCACCTGCATAGTCAGAATCCACATACCCGTTGACATGAGACTTTGAACTATTATCTCACTGATACACCAATCCTACATTTAGAGTACCATGAAGACACCATAATAACCATTTCACAGCCTACCAATGTTCCTTACCAGGATTTGCCCATGTACCTGCTTACCACACTGATTGCATGTGAAATATCTGGACGAGTGCATTCCATAGAATACATCAGGCTACCAAATGCACTCACATATGGAACATGAACTCTTGCTCCTCCCTATTACTTAGAGACATAACTGTTGAGAGTCTAAAGTAGGAAGCTAAAGGAGTATTCACAGGTTTTAAGTTCCCCATACCAAACTGAGAGAGTACATTTTCCAATTACTTTCGTTGTGACAAACACAATCTAACTTTCTTTCAGTCTCTCAGAATTTCAATGCCAAGAATTTTCTTAGCTACACCCAAATCCTTTATCTCAAACTCTTTGCTGAGTTGAGATGTCAACTTGTTGATTTTATCCTTGCTCTTAGCAGCAACGAGCATGTCTTCAACATACAAAAACAAATAGACCAATTAACCATCTGGTAGTTTCTTAAAGTACACACAATGGTCATACTCACTTTTGATGTAGCTTTTCTTCAACATGAATTTGTCAAACCTTTTTTACTACTATCTTGGCTATTGCTTCAATCCATACAATGATTTCCTTAGCTTGTGTACATGAGATTCTTTACTAGCAACCTTGAAACCTGTAGGTTGAGATATGAAGATTTCCTCCTTCAAATCCCCATGGAGAAATGCAGTCTTGACATCCAACTGCTTTAGTTCAAGTTGAAATTGAGCTACAATGGCCAATAATATACGGATTGAAGTGTGCTTCACCATGGGTGAAAATACCTCATTGTAATCCACCCCTTCCTTTAGTGTGTAGCCATTGGCTACTAACCATGTTTTGCACATGATGCCATATATTCCTGGAGAACCTTCCTTCTTTGCTTACACCCATCTACGCCCAATCTCTCAATTTCCCTTTGGCAATTTGACGATCTTCGAAGTATGATTCTTGTGAAGAGAATTCATCTCCTCATTCATGGTAGTTTTCCAATCCCTGCCATTACTATCGTATATTGGATCCTGGAATGCCGATGGCTTATCACCCACCATGGTAAGTGCATAAGATAGCATCTTCAAAACCATAATGAACTGGAGCTTTGACTGTCTTTCTGGTGTTCCCAACTACTAAATATGATTGTTGTGATTGCTCTTCTGATGTCCCTTCGCCTAGAACAATATCTTCTGGAGTACTAAGGTTATCTCCATTTCTTACTCAAAACCAAACTAAAATTTAAATTTAAGTAAAAAAAGCCCCAAAACCCTCTCCAATCTTTATCTCAAACTGACCAATATAAGGGAAACTCATTTCTTAAATCAAATTAAGGAAGAACCAAATCTTTTACTCAATTTTTTTTTGAGCCAAAAAAGCCTTCTTTTTCACTACAAACCTGCAAACCAGGTTTCCCCCACCATCCATCTTC